CGACGCTCTTCCGATCGACAGAAGCAAAATTTTGTGAATGGTGCTGTTCGTGAACCGAATTGTTCGTGAACAGAAGCGTTCGTGAACCGAGGTATTACTGTACTACATTGGATTTATTCTCCGCCCATCTCCCCTCAATGGGGAACTCTGGGCGGCCCTCAAGGTACAACTTATAACAGCATACATATACAATTAATATTATCTCTATCTAACATCTAACATTAATCGCTATACTATATAGCTGTTACTTCCATTCATCTCCAGGAAGCAACCATTCGGGGGAGAGCCTCTTTGCCTTTTGTCAGGGATCCCCTGGAGGTCTGGAAGGCAAGCTGGGAGACAGCTGGGGGCAGGGGCCAAGCAGCAGTGGGTTGTGGTGGGCTGGATCTCTCTTGCACAGTGTGAAGAGCAGGGGAGAGTGGATGTTTTGGTGCGAAATCCATGATTGAAAGAGAGAACTTGAGTAGTTTCCATTGGAAATTCGGCATAAAATTCCTAATTAAATAAATGCGTGGGAGGAAGAATAACAGGCTAATTGCTTTTTGAATGCTAGTTTGTGCAAAGGTCTTGAAGCCAGACTTGAACTGGGTGAGCTGCCTATTTCAGTGATATGTGAGGTCCTCTTCCTGGCTGTGGAATATTTGCTTCTGCCACATCCCTCTCCTCGGCTCTGGCTTTGATCGGGCCTCTTGACCCTTAAAGGAGAGCCTCCTACGGTGGGTATCTTTGTCCAGCTTGCTCCAGAAGCAGGGCCAGAAAACCTCTGAAGTTGCTTCCCATGGGGGAATGGCCATGCCCCCTTTCCCCATTCTGGCCCTGCCTTGCTCCAGAGGGCACACAGACTCACCAGCTCTACCAGCCGTTCATGCAACAGGACCTTGTGTTTTGCTTTCCCTTTTCCTTTCACCTAAGTAGCTTACAGAGGAACCATGGAGAGCAAACACATAGATGGCAACTTGCTGCTCATGAACAGATCAGAGGACACCCCTAATGGCATGAGGGGCGCCCTCTTGAATCCCTACCATGTTCCCTACAGAGAAGCACAACCAAAGCTGTGGCTGCTAACCACAAGGCCTGCTCAAACGCAGCCTCTGGCAGACTCACCATTGCTCCTGTAGGGAGTTGGGCAATGAGGCTCTGGGCTTATTCGGCTGTTTCCATCCCCAAGAGGGCCCCTGCTATCCCATACACCCCTGAGACCACGCGCTGGATCGCAATGGGCCTGGGAGTGCGGCAAAAGGCAGGAAGCAGCCCTCTGGAACTCCCTGCCCAGGGTGGCCTGCAAGGAGGGAGGCAGCCCCTGGCTTTCCTTCCCCTTCGTCCTCTTAATTAGTAGCCTCCTTTGTATAGTCCATTGCGCAGGACTGATGCTGGAAGGCAAAAGCACCACCGAGTGGGGAAGAGTTCCTCATAGGTCTCCCAGGACCAGTGATACATCAAGGAGCAGGATTTGTTTCTAGGTGAAGTGGGGGACCAACAGCCAGGCTCCAAATCCACCAGCCTTTTCCAAACATTAAACTGTCCACAACTTGGGAAAGTCTGCTAGACTCTAGCCTGATGAAACCTGATTCAGCTGCCTCCCTCCCACAGCAGAGGTGTTCCCACTATCTGTTTCTGATTTCCTGGGGGATTTACTAAGGGTGTGCAATCAAAGTGGGTGGCTTTGGAACTGCAAGGCATGAAACCCACTAGGCCGTCAAGAAATGCATTTTCCTGGAGGCAGTGCTAGACCTCAAGACACCCCAGTAGATACTTGGGTGGCAGGACTGGTCTTATAGGCCATGCTGAATTAAAAAGGGGAGGTAACATCCATTCAGAGTCCTGCTGGCTCAAGAACTGGAACACAGAGTCAAAACCAGAAGATCTGCTATATGCCTTATCTCAGTTCCCATTAGTTCCTGTGCTTCTGCAACAAGTATGAAACCAGAGAGGGGACTAGTGCTGATGTCTCCTAATTTGTCTTGGGGGCTGTGGTAGCAGGATTAAAGTAACGCAGCAAGCCTTTTGCAGATGGACTCAAAACAAGGAAAGATGGGCATGAAGAAGGAACTACAGCCATCTTCCTTCCGTTGGTCAGTGTCACTATCTCCCTCTTCCTGGTCCTGACTTTGGGGATCAGCAAATCTTTCTTGGCCCATAATCACATCCAGAGATCCCAAAGTGGGGACCGGCCTACCTTCCTTCCTCCCTCCTTCCCTCCGCTACCAACAATCAATCTCATATAATATACTAAAAAATATAACCCCCCCCCCCCC